TGGCTCCCTTGGGCGGGTATAGCCTACAGACTGTACTCAGTGACCCTCCCTGCCTGCCAGGCCTGAACCATCATCTCTGCAGGAGCAGAGCCATCACCACACTGAGGACGTGGGTGTCTTAATCCCATGGGGGTGGGCCTGAACCATTTGCCTCCAGTGGCCAGGGGGGTCTATATTACCTAGAATGGCTGAGAGGCTAGGCCGTCCTGACTGAAAGCAATCCATCAGGCTCACCTGGATGGGGTATGGCCAGGCCTGGACTGGACAAAACCTTCCAGGCAGCTCAGACTCTGCCCTGGGTCCCTTCCCGATGTGTGCAGGATGCCTGACCAGTCTTTGATTACATCTTCCCTCCTTGAAAACCTGCCTCAAGCATCAGCCTGGGCCTATCTCCTGGGTAATGCATTGCTTTTCTGGTGGCCCGTCCCCGCAGGCCTTGGCTAGCCCAAAGCTTGCCCTGTCAACCCTCCTGTCCTGACCTCTCCTGCTGCAGGTGGATCTCCTCCAGCAGGTCTCGGTGCTCCACAAGTAGCCGCTGGGCTGAGGCCACATCCACCACTTCCTCCTTGCTGTGCAGCTGAGCCTGGACACCCTCCACCCACAGCAGCAGTTGCCAGCTCTCCTGCAGAAAGCTTTGCCGGGCCTGCATCTGGGCCTGGGCCTGAGCCTGTTGAGCCACTTGCTTCTGCACTTCCTCCAGCCGCCCCTGCAGCGTCTCCACCTGTTCTTGTAGGGACTGGCTTTCTTTGGAGCCTGTGTCCTTGACTCTGGGAGATGGGCCCAGCACCCATTCAGTGCCCTGCCCTGGGCCTGGTAACCAGCCTGTATCCCTCAGAGAAGGTGGTAGCAACTCTGAACTCCCACCTCACCCTTGATTTAGGGGCAGCAAGCGTGTATGGCTCTCTCTTTCCCCATGAGCATTTTCTTATACTTTTCTCCCACCTTTGCCCCTGCCCTTCAGACAGCATATCCTGCCCTTCCTCACCCACCCCAGTTTCTGTCCCCTTCCTCATTCCGTAACCCTGCTCTGGTCTTTCCTCCCTCCCATAGCACCATCACCACGCTAAACCCAGGCCGTACTTTATGGCTACTCTTTGCAGGTAGTAGATGGTCCTCTCCAGCGGTAGCATCTTCTGCTGGGCCAGTTGTAGGATGCGGTGGTGGTCCTCTGGGTGCCCTGGCTCCAGGGTTTCCAGCTGGAGTATCACGTTTTGCAGCTGAACCTGCGTGGATCCACACTCCTGCAGAAAACTGCATACATCTGCGGTGCATGCCAGCTGAATTTCCTTTTCTTTCTTCAGGGCCTCCAGCTGCCTCCACCTTAGCAGAGGGAGCAAGATGTCTCCATCACAGGAACACTTCCCTGTCCATCCTGGGGACTTGGCCAGAACCTCACATGACTGAAGCTGCCAGGTTGGCTGTCCCCACACCCCCTCCTCCCTGTCTCTGACACGTTTAGTCTTTCCTCCTGGCATTTAGGGAGACAGGTGAGCAGGCACTAAGGCCAGGATACTGCGTCCAGCTTGCCCTTGTTACCCTGCACTCCGTCTTCATTCTCACCTCTGGCTCAGTTCCTCCTGCTGTCGCTGGATTTTGGGGGAGTATCCAGGACATCTCTGCTTCAGCTGCTCAGCAGAGCTGCTGACCTCAGCCCAGCGTCCCTTTCCCACAGCCAGGGAGGTGAGGAAGTTCTAGAAAAAGAAGGACCCAGGCTTTGAGGGGGCTTGTTCTGTTCCCATACTCCCCTCAAGACTATGAATGACCTCAGACATGCTCTGCTATAGAGATATTCGAGTTGCATCCTTCTGAAAGAATGGATCTGCGGCCTTGAAGGGCGAGGAGAGGCCTTTAAAAATTCAAGGCTAAGCATCCATATTGGAAAGGAGGAAGTAAAACTGTCACTACTTGCAGATGACATGATAGAAAATTCTAAAGATCCCACCAAAAAACTGTTCGAACTAATAAATGAATTCAGTAAGTTGCAGGATACAAAATCAATATACATAAATCGGTTGCATTTCTATACATTAATTACAAACAGAAAGAGAAGAAAACAAATTCCATTTTACAATTGCATCAAAAAGAATAAAATACCTAGGAATAAATTTAACCAGAGGTGAAAGACCCGTACTCGGAAAACTGTAAGACACTGATGAAAGAATTGAAGAAGACACAAATAACTGGAAATATATTCCATGCTCATGAATTAGAAGAATATTGCTAAAATGTTCATACTGTCCAAAACAATCTAGATTTAATGTTAAAATTTCCATGGTATTTTTCTCAAAAATAGAACAAATAATCCTATAATTTGTATGAAACTACAAAAGTCTCTAAATAACCAAAGCAATCTTAGCAAAGAACAAAACTGGAGGCATCATGCCCCCTGATTTCAAACTAAACTATATTATGAAACTATAGCTTATTTGGTTTTTTTTTTTTGGTTTTTTTTTTTTTAGCTGAGCCATCCTGCCACCTGTTGGCAGCTCAGCAGCTGCTCAGCTCGGGCCAGACTCGAACTGCTGTTGCTCAGAGCTCAAACTCTTGAGTGAGCTCTTAACCAACTGAGCCACTCGGCCGGCCCTGAAACTATAGTAATCAAAGCAATATGGTATTGGCACAAAACCACACATAGATCAATGGAACAAAATAGAGCCCAGAAATAAATCCATGCTTATATGGTCAATTAATTTATGACAAAAGAGCCAAGAATGTACAATTGGGAAAGGACAGTCTCTTCAATAAGTGGTGTCAGGAAAACTGGATAGCAACACGCAAAAGAACAAAACTGGAACATCTTATACCAAACACAAAAATTAACTCGAAATGGATTAAAGATTTGAAAGTAAAATGTGAAGACATAAAACTCCTAGAAGAAAACATAGATGGTAAGCTCCTTGACATCAGTCTTAGTGATGATTTTTTGGATTTGACACTAAAAGCAAAGGCAATAAAAGCAAAAATAAACAAGTGAGAAAACATCAAACTAAAAAGCTTCTACAAAGGAAACCATCAACAAAATGAAAAGGCAACCTACATAGTGAGAGAAAATATTTGTAAATCATATCTGATATAGGTATATCCAAAATATATAGAGAACTCATACAACTCAATAGCAAAAAAACCAACAAAACCAACAAAAAACCCCAACAAAACAAAACAAAAAATAATCCAATTAAAAAATGGGCAGAGGATCTGAATAAACATTTTTCAAAGAAGATAATATGGATGGCCAGCAGGTACATGAAGACGAGCTCAACGTTACTAATCACCAGAGAAATGCAAATCAAAACCACAGTGAGAAATCACCTCACACCTGTTAGAAAGGCTGTTATCAAAAAGACAAGAAATAAGTGCTGGGGAGGATGTAGAGAAAAGGGGACACTTGTGCACTGTTGGTGGGAATGTAAATTGGTATAGCCATTGTGGAAAATAGTATGGAGGTTTCTCAAAAAATTAAAAATAGAACTACCATGTGATCCAGCAACTCTTCTTCTGGGTATTTATCTGAAGAAAATGAAAACACAAGCTTGAAAAGACATATGTACTCCCATGTTCACTGTAGTATTATTTACAATAGCCAAGATATGGAAAAAACTTAAGTGTCTATCGACACAAGTGGTAGAATGGATAAAGAAAATGTGTTATGTATACACACACACACACACACACACACACACACACGCACACGCACACTGGAACATTACTCAGCCATAGAAAAATTGAAATCTTGCCATTTGGGACAACATGGATGGACCTTGAGGGTATTATGCTAAGTGAAATAAACCAGACAGAGAAAGACAAATACCATGTGATCTTACTTATATGTGGGATCTAAAAAAACAAGCAAGCAAGCAAACAGACAGACAAACAAAAAACAAGCTCATAGATACAGAGACAGGTTGCTGGTTGTCAGAGGCAGTGGGTGAGGGATGGGCAAACTGGATGAAGGGAGTCAAAAGGCACAAACTTCCAGTTATACAATAAATAAATCATGGGGATGTAATGCACACCATGGCAGCTATAGTTAATACTGTACCGCATATTTGAAAGTAGCTAAGAGAGTAAATCTTAAAAGTTCTCATCACAAGAAAAACAATTCTGTATCTATCTATGGTGACAGATGTTAACTAGACTTATTGCAGTGATCATTTCACAATACATACAAATACTGAATCATCATGTTGTACACCTGAAACGCATAAATATTGTATGTCAATTATACCTCAATTAAAAATAATTCAAGGCCAGCTGCCTCGTTCCCTCCTCCCAGACAGGACTATAGTTAACGTGGAGAACTGAGACACAGGAATGCATAATGGGGAGACAGGAACAAGGGGAGGAGGAAGCACAGGAATAAGGAGAGACAGCAGGCCCAGCAGCTGAAATTCCTCCTTGGCTCCAAGGGACTGTACCTCAAATTTGAGCTGCATGATCTCCAAGCTGTCAGCCTGGAACTGCAGTGTTTGGAGCAGCGCTGTCTGGTCTTCCAGCCAGGACTGGAGCTCCTCACATGAGCCATCGAAACCAAACAGAGCTACTGCCTCCTCCAATCGGGCCCTGTGGTGCTGAGGAGAGACCAGCCCAGAGGATGGGGTGAGGGTCAATACCTTTCACTGGGCATTCAGAAAAGGCTCCCCTCACCCCCTCCTCACCTCCAGCAGAGCCCAGGGCCAGGGCCAGAGAAGGCCCTCACCTCGCTGCTGGACCCTATGCCCTCCGTCACAGGTCCAGTGGAGGGAGCTGGCAAGAGCTTAGTGGGTAAATGGCCCTGGTAAAGTGTGCTGTTTTGATCTCGTCCTACTCAAGCCCTTCTAGTGCTAAGGTACAAGTCACACCTCTCCCATGGGACCTGGCCGGGCCCACCTCCTTTCCAGGCTCTCCTCTAGCCACTCGCCACCCCTGTCTCTCTGTGCTCCAGGCAACCTGACCATCATACTTCCATTGGGCCTCTCTCTTGCCTTTGTGTAGGTCCGGCCTAGAACACTGTCTCCCTGCCATCTCCCCTGCCCTCCCCCTGGCTTTACCTGCTCTCAGCTTCTTGTTGGTCAGTCTCAGCCTGAAAGTCCTTCCCTCTGAGATGACTTCCCTGACTCCCCAGCCTGCTTATGTGCTCCCATCACACCTGTGTTCACCTAATGACTTGTTTCACACCTTCTCTGATATGTCAGCTCCTTGAGGGCAGGGAGCACATCTGTCATTGCTTTGTTCCTGGGCTCATGGCTTAGGTCTAGAACAGAGTAGGTGTTTCATGAACAGTTTTTGAACAAGGACTGTTACCTCTGCCAGCACCCACAGGCCCTCATAGTCCTGGCTCAGGTGGTCCTGTGTCTGGAGTATGGTGTTGGGGTCAAAGTCAGCATCAGGCTCAGCTGGGAGGGCCATCTTTTTGACGCCCTGGGGGCCAGAGTAGCAGGAAACCTCATGCCAGGCCCCCAGGTTCCTGGGACCTTCCCTTGGAGAGCTCAGGGCAGATACCACCTGTGCTGACGAGACACGGGGCAGTGTGACCAGAGGCGGCTCCCCCTAAGCAGCAGCAGGACTGGCAGGTTGGAGCCAGCAGCTGTATCTGGGGTCCCTGTTCCATGACATGGCTGCACTGATCATTTGTATGACACCTGTTTACCAGGTCTGAAAGGCCTGTGGTTCTAACTTAGCCGGGGTTGATCTTGCTCTTTTGCTTTGCATTTATTCCATGGACCACATAATTAACATTTTTGGGAGTAGATCCACAGTATGTTAGCAGTTGTCTGGTCCAGCCGCCACACTTCATGGGTGAGGTGACCAAGGCTCAGAGAGGCCAAATTACTGCCCAAGGACATGCAGTTCTCTCTCCTAAAGAGGCCTCCCAGTCTTTCAGCTCCCAGGTTTCGGGGCCTGTCTGGTGCACTGGCTGCGGGACCTCTCTGGGGAGCCAGGTTAGGGGTGCCCCTGTGGGAGCACAGGTTCTGAGGTCTGCTGGCCCTCTTCATGGGGGTGGACAAGCATCTAGTCTCTGTCCCTTTGCACCTCTAGCCCTGGGCAAGGGTCAAACGGAGAAGAGGCAGCCAGGCTGGTTACTCTGGGTTGGGCTGAGGGGACTGAAGAAAGGAATAGGCACAGAGAAAGACTGGAAAGGGGGAGAACGAGGGAGAATCAGGAAGCTGGAGAAGGAAGACTCAGAATTTTGGGCAGCTCCATGTCCATCTTTCTGCTGAACCCCAAATGGTCTCCCTTAACTTCCTCCCTTCAGTCGTCAGATGTCCCAGGGAGCCACACAGAATAAATTTATGATGGTCTGTGAAGGCTCCCACATGGGGTCTTGGCCTTGTGCCTCCGTAGATGACATGCATCTGGACTGCGGGGCATGGGTACTGCCTGCCCGGTGGTGCTAAGGTTTGGGTGCCACCCTGGGGTTTCTCAGTCGCATCCCCATCAATCCTGCTCCAGCCTTCTAGGTACTCCTTCTGTATGGAGGAGGGAAGGGCTCTGCTTAGCTATCAAAGTGGCTCTCCACCCCCAACAGAGGGGGCACCTGTGCACCACCCCTTGAACGTGATGGGGCAAATCAAGTGTGTGAACATGCCAGGGCCCAGGCCTAATTGTTCTATTGATGCTAAGGCTGGCTGGCCAGTAGAGGACACAAAAGAAGGAGAAGGCACCTCCCATTCATTCACTTAAACAATTAACTCAAACTGGAGAAGCAGGCCACACAGAACACGAGGTAGGCAGCACCAAAAGCAGTATGAGTTAGTATAATGCAAGCGTTAGGAGTTAAAACAGCCTTGATACTCAGTGAGGGATGGGGTAGAAACAGCCCTGGACTGGGAGCTGGGAGACCTCTCTAGGAGGGGTAATTGCATGTCCTTGGGCAGAGTCAACCTCAGCTAAGTTAGGACCACAGACCTTTCCGACCTGGTAGTCAGTTGCCACATAAATGATCAGTGCAGGCTGAACCAGAATCCCAGTCAGCTACTGACTAATTGGCCATGCCACCTCCTGAGATATGAGGACCAGAGCTGCAGCTCTGAGAGTGCATGGACATGGCTGGACAGAGGGGTCTGGCACATGGCACTTTCTTAGGGATAAGTGTAGAGGGGGCTAATCACGAATGCAGTCGGAGGGTCGTGATTTCCACATCTAGAGCCACACACACAGCTTCTTGATAGAGGACTGCAAACCCTGATGGGGTTGGGCCAACCTGCCCATCACACGTGTGTTTTAAAAACTGGAGGCTCAAAGAACTGAGGGAGGGTTTTCAGAAAGCATCTGGTTGTAGTGATTAGGCCACCCCAAACCCACAAGTGCCAAGTCAGGAGAGAGAGCTAAACAGAGCTTAAGGGTGAAGGGTGACCTTAGTTAGACTTCATGGCGAGAGTAAAGGGTACATTCCTGGAGGAATCTGATTACTGAAAACCGGTAGGCAAAGTGAGCAGAGCCAAACTATGCTTGGATGATTTCCCTAGGTGAGGGCAGACAGGACTCCACTAANCAGCTCTCTCCCAACCTGCAGTAGACACAAAGGCTCAGGGAGTCTCACTGAGCTGCTGGTTCCATGAGCAGCCAAAGCAGGCCGTACACAGGTGGTAGAGGTAGTGGTGGTGGGGGTGAGGGGGTGCCTGGCTAAAGCTGCATTCCACGGGCTGTTCATGTGGCCCAAAATCTGTGGGCAGAGGTGGGAGAGTTTTCCTCTGACACCCACAAGTAGTGCAGGGTTGGCAGGCATCTAGCAGATGGTGGGAAAGGTCTTTGTTCAGGTGGAGGAGGCAGGCTCTGGAGCTGCTCTGGAGAGTTGAGGGGAACGGATGATGGAAGCTTTCTGGGTTGGTTTGGACGCCCAGACCAGGGGATGCCCACCTGAGTGGAGGAGGAAGCTGGGGGATCCTAATTACATGGGAACTGAGGACGATTCTTCCTCTAATGAGTGTGTTCCATGATAACATGCCTTGCAGCTGGGCAGGGAACTTGTAGACCAGCAGGCCCTGCACCCTCCATCCAGGCCCCTACCTGCTGCAGGGCCTCCACGTGCCCATGGGTGGCCTGTAGCTCACACTCAGCTGCTTTGTGCCACTTGAGTTTCTGCAGGATGTTGCTTGGCTCCTGGGAGGGCTCATCCACCAGCATCAGCCCCTTCTCCTCCATCCACAGCATCAGCCCTGCCACGTCCTGCCTCCATTCCTGCCCGGGAACCAGGAAAGAGTGGGTGCCAGAGACCCAGGGTGAGGGCTGGTATGAGGACCTCTATGAGAGGGGTCTAAGCGATCCCCATAGGAAGAGCAGGACCCAGAGCCAATCCTAGGGGACAAGAGAGGTGGGGCCTAGAGTTACTGCTCCCAAATGGGGACAGGGAAATTGAGTTTGAGAGGGAAAGGTCTCAGGGAAAACAGGAGGAGGAAGCCATTAGAGACAGGACCTGGGCCCTATGGCACCTGAGCCCAGACAGGAGAAGCACCTGGTCAGTCCCCACTATTACAGCCCACATCAGATCACATAAGGCTATCCCTCTTCAAATGGGCTTAAGCTCTGGGAGGCTGTGGACTGGCCCAGCTCTGAGCCCCTGTGAATGGTAGAACAAATATCTCACAGAGCCAAGGTCTACAGCTGGTGCCCAGAGTGTGGCCAGAAATGGCGGGCAAGGGGAATAGCCAGATGAGGGAGGGCAAGGGGGGCTACTCAAGACTTTGATCCCAGCCCCGCCTCTGAGCAGTAAGAAAACTAAGAAAACTTAGCCTCAGTTTTCCTCATGTGGCAAATCAGAGCCATAATGCCTGTCAAGGGATGCTGTGAGGGTCAATGACATAACCTGTGGGAAAGTGCTTTGCAAACTGTAAAGTGCTCTGTGTGGTGCACTATTGTTAGTGCAGCAGTGGACTCTGAGGCATTCTTCTAGGGGAGGCCTCATGTACCTGGGC